TTTTTCTAAAGTTTTAAGAACATTTTAAGAATATTTTGAGAACAATTCTATCACATTTTAAGAATAATTTTAACACATTTTGCGAACAATTTTAAAAACGTTTTGAGAACATTTTGAGGTCAGTTTAAGAACAGTTTAAAAACATTTTGAGAACAGTTTAAGAGGAATTCGAACACGTAAAAATGGGTCCAAAGAGAAAGACACCGCGTAAGACTAAGGAAGTTAGCAGCAATGATCGCGAAAGCGAAAGCGAAACGGTAACCAATGTAGATTCTCCGAGCATAGACAACGCGATTGCAATAACGTCAGAGAAAAACGGGATGACGCCGAGTATTTCGAGTTATACGCCATTCTCACGTAGAGTAGCGATCGAAGAAAAGCAAGACGCGAACCCTGATACAAGCATGACCGAAAACCGTGAGGAGACGCGAACAACGAGCGCGAGCGAGCTAGATGCCGCAATACTAAATGCCTTGTTCGAAAAAATTAATGCTTTAGAAGCAAGAATCGAGAATAGTGTGAGCGTAGTACAGGAAAAAACAAATACGGAACCAAAGTCGGTGGTAGGTAATATTGCCACAAAACAACGACAAGCTGACGATGCCGTAGTTCTTGCGAAACGCGACACAGTACCGGAAAATGAGTGGACGATAAGAATGCCTAGAGGAGGCTGGTTACAAAATCCGTTTCAAGATATCACGTATTCAGGTAAGCGTGATATCCAAAATCCCATTCGATTCCTTCACAAATTCGAGAAAACCGCGACGTATGAACGAGTTTCAGACGCGGATAAGCTTCACTTCTTTGCAAAAGCGATGCGAGGAGCCGCTAGTCTTTGGTTTGAGTTAAATCAACCGGATACATTCGAAGAAGCCGTAAAATCGTTTAAAGAGAATTTTTGGTCTGACAAGGATCAGAACAAATTTCGCGAGGAATTATATACCACGAGATACGCTTACAAAGCGGACAATAAAGAAAACATGTCCATGGCGGACTATGCACTGTCGTTAGCACGTCAAGCTAAAACGCTTGACCCACCGATGTTAGAGTCGGAAATAATTAGAGTAGTTAAGAGACATT